ACGTCTTGGGTGGGATATTGATGTGAGGGGAAGAAACATGTTGTGTGAATGTAGTAACAATAGAGGAGTAGAGAATTCGGGTGGTAGCTCCCTTGTCTTGTCCGCCATAACCTTTTCCTTTGTCAGGATTTAAGGTTTTTCCTCCCTCCTCCCTCATGTTATGTTCAATTGCTTGAAACAAACGAATTGCTTGATGCTTAAATCTACCCCACCCCATCCCGATTAACCATTGATCTTTGCAACATTGCACATAAACCAGATTCAAAGTTACATAACTTAGCTTTAAAGTTAAGCAGTGAGCAAGGAAGAGTTTGGGGATTCTGAAGCAAGAAGGGAACGTCCAATGCATGGTAGCATAGAGGAGTAGAGAGGCTTGCTTTATAATGAGAAGGAGAGTCAGGATGTATAATGTCAAGATGGATCTCGCAAATCTTCTATTCATGGAAGAAACTTTGTGGCAGCAAAGTTAGCGACTTGGACTGAGGAAGGTGATAGGAACACTCCCCATAGCATTTTATCTATGTTGAGAAGATGGAGTTGGACGATCAAGTTGTCGAGGATCATTCGGTTTTGAGGACGCAAGTTGATGATACTTTGAGAATTTGAGGGGGTTTTTAACCGATGGCTGAATCTTGATGGCGTGGACTTAAATTTTTGGATTAGTGGAGAGGGATTTGCATGAGAGATCTAAGATTATTCAAGCTGTCATGAGCTGAAATGGGGATAAGGTCTTGGTGTGGATGTTTCTTCCATGTCTTGTCTACAAAAGAATAAGGTGATGAAGAAAGAATATTTTCTTTTGGCAATATGCCTGGTACTTTTGACATGTATCCGGTGACATTGAGTGTGGGAATGAAAAGAAAAGATCATTAGATCGAAGAGAAGAGAAAAGAAAGGAGTTAAGGGAGGAAGAAGACTGAAAAGACTTGGAATCGGAAAGATACGCTGAGCATTCAAAACTTACCATACAACGATCATGAAATACGGAGTATTTAAACCCTAAGAAAGATAGAATTGCCATGAAAATCGCCTGAAAACCCTCCATAGAAACAGGTTCGAGGAAAGGTTGGTTGGATGGAAATGCAGAACCTTGTCTGAAAGGTGTAGACTCAGTCTTATCAAATGCACAATGTCAAACTTGCTCATTTGTTTTGTCTTTATTCGTAATCATAATTAGTGGCAAAGGGGCTGGAATCAATCAAATGTTGTTTCTTGTGGGTTGATTTTGAGGCTTAAAAGAGATTATATTTGGTGCTGTGTGATACAATAAACCTCCTTGTTCAATGGAAGGCCTTGACATTTTAGAAGTCTCGCTTACTTTAACAAAAACTTTGCTTGGAGAGTTGCTTTAGCGACATAAATGCTGAGGGTAGTGTTTGGTGGAAGGTAATTATAACCTAGTTTTGGATTGACAAAAGGGGCTAGATATGTAGGTAGTCTAGAGTTTTGCATGCTTCGTGTCTGAAGAAAATTAATCCAGTTGGGACAATTTCTTTCTCTTTTTTTTTTTGCTTACAAGGACATTTGGAATCTAGATTTGTCTTCTAGAATTGTGTTTTTTGCTTGGGAGGTGGCTAGTCACTATTAACAATTTTCAAAAGGAGAAGATTCTAACTAGTGGGTGCTTCTTGTGCAAGAGGGCGACAAAAACTCTTGATCATCTATTTCATGGCATCCCTTCTCCCTCCACCTTTGGTGTATTGCCATTGAGTTCATTAGTTTGAGATAGGTGATAGCAAGTTCCATAAGAAAAGAGATCAGAGCATGGCAACGTATCCATGGTGTTAATCGCTAAAAAAATCTCATTATTTCCCTAACTACCATACAAGTCATTTGGAAGGAAAGAAAAAGGGCTTTCAAGGGTTTGGTTTTTTGCTTTAGTAGAGTTAGGCCTCTATGGTTCTAGATCTTCTTTCTATGCTCTTTCTTTTGATGAGAACTTGGGTGACCTAATAGATATTTTGAATGAATTTTAAAGTTTTTGTAGGTCAGTGGCATCCTTAAGGTGCCTTGTTAATATATATTTATTCCTTCCTTCTTCTCTCCAAGGAAAGAAAAAGCCTCAAGGACAAGATTTTTTCCAGTGCAATAGAATGAGATGAGTTTGGACCTAGACTTTCTATTTGACTTTGGAATTATAAATCATTTTTCTAGTTTTAACGTGCTGTGTTTCTTTTGTTCAATTTATAGTGGTCCTGGGTTATTGTCATACTACTCTAGTTTTGTTACTATAAGATGCTGGCAGTAGTCTTGGTTCACTTTATTATATTTTTAAGTAGAATTAGGACAATATTTTCTTTCTGGAGTTTTTATGGTTTAAGCTTTTTAGTTTTCCTTTTAGATTGCCTGCCGTAATTGGACTAGGGTTCCATTACGATTCAAACGTTTCTTAGCGGCATCATAATCAAGAAAATATTATTTGAATTTTCTTGTTCAAAAACTTATCCTCTTGCAATTGTGTAAAGTAATAATATCTTTGTAATTATGAAATCTAAGACAATGGTAGATGTGGTAGCTAGGTTATAGTAATGTTCGTGATAATCATTTGCAAGCGCTGTTCAAAGTCCAGAATAGTACTATAATTCTGAGTAAGTTTTATTTCAGTTGTTCTATATCTAGTTGCTATGGGGGATATTGATTGTGATTGTGGTTTAGTTTTAATAGTTATTACCATGCACAGCATTTGGGTCGCAAGGGTGCAACTGTTCAGAAATAGATTAGAAGTTAGCAATGAGATTGTTTGTATGAATGCAAAGAAACATTTGAGGAAGAGCAGTTTGTTAAATTATATATAAATTATTCGAATTGTAAATGCAGTAACTTTGAATTTCACTATATTATCTCTTTTTAAGAGATGCCTTTATAAGATCAACTAGACTTTTGATCTATTTCGTTATTCTTGACCTATATATGTATATTTTCCAAGAAGGTTTTTGTTTTGTTTCATTTTTTTTTTCAGTTAATAGTATTAACTCTTGTTGTTCAGTTAATAATATCAACTCATAGTTGTATTTGCTATCTGCATTTATGAAGGCTGTTGGCTTTGAGGGAGATGTTCGCAAACAAGAAGATGCAAAAAGAGTTGTTGAATCAACTTTTAAACATTTTGGCTGGCTTGACATTCTTGTGAATGCTGCAGCTGGAAATTTTCTTGTATCAGCCGAGGATTTGTCTCCTAATGGGTTTCGGACAGGTTGTTTGTTACATTTACGCTTTCTTGTGTCAAACAGTCATTTAAATATTTTTTATTCATTAGGCTTTTCGTTGAGTTTTCTTCAAATTTCAACTTTATGGAATAGAAATGAGAATGATGTTTATTTCAAAAAAAAAAAAAGAAATAAGAATGATGTAGGAATTTAGGAATAAATGACTGAACGTTATATATCACATCTAAAATCTTAAAACGTCATACTGGAGAATTTGATTGCATCATACAATCATAGAATTGAGAAATCCTCAAATATTTTATTGGATAATTCAAGTTTGTCTTGAAAAGTAAAATTATGTATATTTGCTGTGTTTCTTAAGTAATATTTTCTAAATAGAATCTGATTCAGAAATAGTAATATGAATAAGTTAGAAAATAATAATACCCATACAAATAAGTAAACTAAATATTAACATAATAAAATTCCAAAGCTAGTAACACCATAATTTTATACTTAGTTATAATTTGTAACCTACTTAGATAATCTATAGCCAACCCATTTTGCATCATTCTCCCTTGTTTGGATAAAATTTGTCCCATTTTGCATTATTCTCCCTTGATTGGATAAAATTCATCGAGTTTTGAAGTGACAAACAAAGTAAACCTTAATCTTTTAGCTTCCCTATGAAGATTTGGTAAACTGTGTACTTAGTTATTCTGTTAAATAGTAAAGATAATGGAAATATACAATTGTTTATGAGTAGAAGATCCTAGCAGGAAGATGAAATCAATATATCAATCAATTAGTGTTCCAAATTCTCCTTGCATGGAACTTTGGTAGGTCTTTCAGGGAAGATCTTGAGCAACGTGAAGACATGGTAGTTTTTCTTACTGTATTTTAGGGTTTTCGGATATGAACCTTACTACAGAAAAGAAAGAGGCATTTGCTTGTTCACTTGGAGCTAAATCATCATCTTCATGGGATACATAACCATAATCTGTTCGGATATGAACTTTCAGCGTGTAAGTTTTTCTTGTTGGGACTTGGTAACCCGTCTGTCCACTCTATCCACATCTTAAGTAAGCAATTACCTTACCTTTGAATGTAGTCTTGGAAATCTATGTTAGTTCATTCTTCAACCCACCTTTTGATTCTAAGGTATTCTTAGGAATAGATTTGGTAACCGCCACTTAATGTTCTTTAAAATTGGATATTTTAAATATTCTTTTACATCAAAGGCAGCTTGATAAGTTTTACTCTGGTTGTAGGATTTAGAGATGAATCCCATGGCCACCTTTTCCTCTATTACTACATGGCTTAGAAGCTTTAGAGTATGCATTTAGATATTTTTAATGGTATCCCCCTCCCTTCTATAGTGTTTCTTGAGTTCTTTTAGTGGAAAAATAACACTTTTTGCCAAGGTGTATCAGAGAAGGAAGAAGAACTTTGAACTAAATAATTAGTAACTAAGTATGTGTTAAAAGTACTTTATTTTGTAGGAATATTATGTAGTGTTATGTGTTAAGTATGAGTAGTTAGTAGTTAAGAAATAAGGGGATTAGATAAGATAATAATTTTTTTTTTAAAATAAAAAGTGTAAAGTATTGTATTAACAGAGTACCAAAACGAGATTACCACCCATGTACAAAAGATTTACAAAAGAGTTAAGGTCTCAATGACATTCCTAAAATATACATCCCTAATAATGTCATGACCTCACAATATGGTCCCAAAAGAATGCAATCATTTATCTCTAATGCTATATGGGCTGCTAACTCTGCCCCCAAAAGCTCTCAAGTCCGTTCTTTCTAGATAACCCATAAAAACAGTTAATGGAATAATGTTTACAATGTTTCTTTTTATATATACCCATCCCAACCCAAATGTTATTATTGACCGAACCCGCTATCACCTTTGAATCCCTAACAACCCATAGATCACACACCAAAGGTCCCAAGCCATGTGGCACCAAAGCAGCAAATGATTATAGGATTCCTCAACCATCAAACACATATAACACTCGTTTCACAAGAATTTGTCCTCTAGTTCTGATGTGAGAATCTTCTTACAACAGGCTTCCCACGCAAAGAAAGCGATTCTCGGAGGGATATGCGTTTTCCAAATTTGTTTGTAAGGGAAGTTCCAGTGAACCACCGCAGTATCTTTCATTAAGAAGTTGTAGTAGGAACTAATCGAGAATCTTTCAGACTTCTCTAAATTCCAAACAAATTTGTCAGGAGATGAAGAGATTTGTTGTGAAGATAACACCTTAAGAATCTCCACATAATCATTAATTTTCCAATCATTTAAGTTTTTTACAACCTTTATGTCCCAATTTACATTACCATTGGATTGTTGATACGCATTTTCAATGAGCATGTTCTTCGATTGGGCAATAGAAAAAATCATCGGAAAATAATTTTTGAGACTACCCCTCTCCAGCCACTCGTCAATGTAAAATTTGATTTTATTATCTTTCCTTAGCTTCCATTATAAGAATAGGCTGAATTGGGGTTAATGAGATAAGATCTTCTGCCATAAACCCCTGCCATGCGGAGTAGAGAGTTTACTTCTCGAAATCGTATTAGGGTCACCCCAACGAGCCTCCACAATCCTCCTCCACAACCTTTGATTCTCAATCATGTACTTCCACAACCATTTTGCCAAGGAGACCATCATTCATTTTCACCATAGACTTGATGCTAGGTCCACCCAAACAATTGGGTCTTTTAATATCCTCCCACTTTACCAAATGGTACTTGTGTTTCCCATCAACATCCCCCAAAAGGAAACGACATTGAATTGATTCTAGTCTCTTGGCCACCTTTGCTGGTATCGAAAGGATAGAAAGATAATAGATAGAAAGGTTGGCCAAAGTGCTTTTGATTAAGGTATATCTACCATCATTTGAAAGGAAGTTACGCTTCCACCCTACAAGTTTCCTCTCAAATAATTCCACAATTGGCTCCCAAGAGGTAGTGTCTTTATATTTGGCCCCCATAGGTACACCTAAGTACTTCATGGGGAACCTAATCGCTTTACACTCAAACACCTTTGCAAACAAATTAGCCTCCCCATTCCCGTCAATCCTGGCCAACTCAAACTTATCGAGATTAATTTTTTAAACGGGTACAGTCTGAAAATAAAGGAGAACACATCTCAAATTCAGCAAGTACCTCACATCTGGTTGGCAAAATATGAGCATATCGTTCGCGAAAAATAGGTGAGACACCCGAACCTCGTGATTCTTTTTACTTACCACGATCTCCCTCACTAATTGAAGATCAACAGCCCTGGTTAAAAGGCCATTTAGAGCTTTCATGACAATAATAAACAATAATGGTGAAAGGGGATCACCTTGTTTTAAACCTTTGGATGCACCAAAGAATTTGGATGGACCACCATTAATGAGCACCGCAAACGAAGAGGTGGATATGCAATGCTTCATCCAGCCTAGCCATCTTTGCCTGAACCCTAACTTATTAAGCATGTAACCCATAAAGTTCTAATTGACATGGTCATATGCTTTCTCCATATCCAATTTACACAATAGGCCATCTTTCCCCCTAACCATAAGGTCATCCATGAATTCATTAGCAGCCATTACAACATCCAGAATTTGTCTGCCTTCCCCGAACGCGTGCTGACATTCCCCAATCACCTCGCCAAGCATCCTAGATGGTCTCATGGCCAACACTTTAGCAATTAACTTATAAATACATTTCACTAAACTTATAGGTCTGAAATCTTTGAACTCTTAAGATTCTTTTTCTTTAGGATGAGTGCAATGAATGTGGAGGTTAGAGATCTAACAAATTTTCCAGTTCTATAGAAGTCCTTGAAAACACCCATTACATCATCTTTTAGTAAGTATTAAAATGTTTGAAGGAATTTCATATTAAAGTCATCAGAACAGGGAGCCTTGTTGCTGTCACAGGATTTCCCTTTTATAACATTCTTGCATTTCACGAAATCTTCATTCCACAGGATGACAATGCCACTTGCCGAACCCTTTGTAGGAATGCCATGTCATCCCAAATTTTTGGTGCCCTAAAGCCCCTTGATCACTTTCTCGATGTAGTTATCAATTTTGATTTCTTGTAAACAAAGGACCAAAGGATTCCATTTTCGAAAACAACCTCTAAGGACAAACCTTTTACATTGGTTGTTTATGCCCCTAACATTTCAAGAGACAATATTTCCAATCATTGATGTAACAACTCTAATTCCTCACCCATGCTATCCTCCTTCCTTTTACGATCATAGTTGGTAGATGATTCCAATCTTTTTAGCTCTCTCGAGATATACCCACCTTGTTGTTTCTTCTCTTTACCATTGGATTCGCACTTTTTTCTTGCTAGCATTTTCTTTTCTTCCACTTCAGAGAAAAATAGCGAAGAAACAGGTTCATACCTTCAAGAGAAATTCCCATTGTTTTTCCAAATTTCTGAATATTTTGCAATACCCAAGCAGAGAAGCCCTCTTCAACTCCATCCACCACATTAACCCTTTCTAGACTAAACTTGAGAATCTCTTCAATTTCTGGATTAGGGGAAAGTAGCTAAAGCCTAACCTTCCTCTTCAACCAACACCATCTGCATATATTTAAGGATCCAGAAAATTGTCACCATGGGAGTCAGAAACAAAAAAATCATCAACAATGACCTCTTCTTTAGATGATGCAACGACTGAAAGTCATCATCTTGGCGTTCCTCAAGTCTCCCATTATCAATTTCGTTGTCCAAATCACCTACATTTTCCGCCTTCTTCGTCCGGTCGCTCAGACACAAGTCACCATCACTCCGTTCGGGGCGAACAGACGCGTCGAGACATGATTTCGCACCTGAGAGTTCTCCTTGGGTCGGGTTGAAAATGCTTCGCTTCACACCATCAGAAGGACCCGACCCTAAAGCATCTTCCTCATTCTTAAACGGATCAGTAGACCATTTCTCCTTTGCCTTCCAGGTGAACTTTCTCTTCTTTAATGGCCCATTTCTGTTGAATTTCTCTGTTTTCTCTTGGCCCAGTAACGCTGGGTTATCTT